TTAATGTTCAAGTGCCAAGGAGCTTTGGAATAAGCTCGAGGAAATCCATGGAAACAAGAAAGAATAACCAACAAAGGTGGTGTCTCTAATGGCTTATGAAGAGCCCGAGGTATCTTTTAACTCAAATGAACTTAATTCATATACATTTGATGAGTTACAAGATGCTTTTAATAGGTTATATTCGGAGTTTGAGACCATGAACTCCAAATATAAGAAAATGATTTCAAAATTTAAAATTGAAAACGATTTTCTTTTAAAAACAAAAATAGATTTTGAAAGCCAAAATGAAATGTTGAAAAAGGATTTAGAGCTTTCAAAAATAAAAATTGATAGTTTTGAAAAACAAAATTTTGATTTAAAAGTTAAGCTTGAATGCTTAACAAAAGAAAAAGAAATCATTTTAAATAATTCATTTAGTTCAATAATGACAATATGCTCACATTGTCATTATCATGGTCATTTGGAACATAATTGTCCTTTGAAGAAAGGAAAACGTTTTAAAATTAGGCAAGTATGGGTTCCGAAAGGAACAAGGGGCATTGAAACTAACGTCCAAGGATCCAAAGCAATTTGGATACCAAAATCTACTTAAATGTCTCTTGTAGGTGTGTGGGAGCAATGGTGATGAGAGTGATGATATTCAAGATGCTCTAGCCACACATGAAAAAGGAATGGGTAACCTCTAAGCTTAATGCTTTTAATTTTGGTTATTTGGTTGCTCATTTGATTTTAAGCATGCATGACTTTTGTTTTTAAATGATTATGCATCATTGTTTTAATCTCATGTATGTTGAAAAGCTGATTATGATGAACATTTTAAAGTTATATTAATTTTTAAGAAATTTTAGTTCATCATAATAAAATTTTGGTCAAAATTGGTTTTAATGCAATTGATATCTCTCTAACAATTGATATCAATTTTTCAAATACTTTGATTTTATAAATTTTAATTTTTGGCCTAAATTTGAATGTTTATGCATGTGGTCTAAATGAAAATGATATCTCTTTAGCAATTGATATCAAATTTTTAAAATTACATAACATTTTTTGGAAAACTTTATGCAAATGCACTTAATTTTAACAATTGATATTGATATCAAATTTCAACAATTGGTATTGCATAAAGTATTTTAGTCTTGGATATATTGAATTTCATGTGCTACTAACATGTTTGTTATTCTTTGTTGAAATTCAATTTTGTTTAAGTGTCAAGTTCTTAAAGCTAAATTTTATTTGGAATGCATTTATTGAGGGGAAGTTTTTGATTTTCAAATAAATTTTTAAATGTCAAATTTACCACTTACTCTCCAATGTTATTTTAGAACTTTAAAAGATTGAATTATTTTTGATATAACAAAAAGGGGGAGAAGTTTGGTTGTTTTAAAAAATTCAATTTCTTAATGAAAAAGGGGAGCTTAACATTTTCATATGTTTTCCAACAACTAGTATCTTTTTCATTAAACATTTTATTAAGGGGGAGTTTTTGCCAAAAACAAATTTTCAAATATTTTGTTATATCAAAAAGGGGGAGATTGTTGAACTATGTTTCGATATAACAATTTAAGGCAAAATGGTTTTTGGACTTGAATTGAATTTACAAAATGTATTTGGACTTAATTGAATTTATTCAAAATTTACAAAAATAATTCAAAGTTCTTTTAATTTAAAATTGAGCACAAAAATGTTTTTATGAATAGTAATTTACTATTTGAACAGTAATTACTATTTGAACTGTAAAATCACTGTTTGAACGGTACCCGAGGCTCAAAAATTCCAGTATGTAAAAGGGGAACCGATTCCCCCCAAGGGGGTACCGATTCCCTCACTGTTCATCAGCCCAACGGTCATAATATTTGAATATTATGAAGGGGTATCGATTCCCTATGAAGGGGTATTGATTCCCCCCATTCTAGGCAGCCTATTTTTGCAGAAAAATCATTCCCAAACGGCTCCAAAACATCCTCAACGGCTAGATATGACTTCAAACACATTCCAAGCTATAAATACAAGCTAAGGACACTTGAAGAAAAAAGAGAACAACTATCCAAGCAATCAAACACAAGAGAAGAGTTTTTCATTCTTATTTCATCTTTCTCTTGTATATATTTTGTTCTTGTGAGCTCAATCTTGTAAACACCTACCTTAGAGAGGTTTTCTTGTTTACATTTCTTATACTTTTGTAAAGGGAAAAGGTTCTAGCTAATCCTTTGTAAAAGCTAGGGAAAGGTTCTAGTTTAGCCCGGAAAAATTAGGGAGTTTGTAAGGTTACTCTTTATCCTCAAAAGAAAGAACAAATTAGTGAATTTGTTGGAAAATCCTTGGTGAGGAGCTAAGGTAGTGGATGTAGACTTTGATTGAGAAAGTCGAACCACTATAAATCGCTGTGTAATTCTCTATCTTTCAATCTCCTTACTCCCTAAACACAAAACCGTTCCGACCCCTCTTTGCAAACCGTTCCGGTTATCGATTCGAGCTTCCGAAAATCCTAACAATACTGTTATTAAATATTGTTACTGCATAATGTTATTGCATATTGTTCATGCATAATGTTATTACATATTGTTATTGCATATTGGAATAATTGAGTATTATTATTACATAACTTGTTAGTGCAGACTGTTATTGTGTTATGTTTATATATATTTTTCTTGTACAGTTGTTGGCCCATTCATGCTGGTGGACCAACATACCAAGTTTCATGTGGTCCTTCAAATCAGCATTGTGTCAACATTGAAACTAGAACTTTTTCATGTAGAAAATGGGAACTAACAGGTAACTTAATGTTTTATTAATATAATGTTAATTTTTTATTTTCTTTTTTTTATAATAACTAATTGTTTTTTAATCTAGGTATTCTTTGTATACATGCAATTTCTGTCATAGTCATGAATCATGAAAACCCATAAAACTTTGTGGACCAATGCTACTTAGTGAAAACCCAAATGGTCATATACTCAAATTTTATCAACCCGATAAGAGGTCCTAATCAGTGGACTCCTATTGAAACAATTGAGCCTATCTTACCACCTACCTTGAGAAGGCCACTGGGAAGACCACACAAGAACAGAAGAAGAGAGGCTAATGAAGCACCCCCTTATACTCGTAGGGTGATAAAGAGGGGAGTTAAAATATTATGTAGAAAGTGTGGGGGTTCTGGACATAATGTCAGAACATGCAAGGGTAAGGTTGGTCGCAATACAAGGCCCCTACAACAAACATTTGCTACAAGAAGATCAAAACTGCCATTATGTTTTAGATTGACTTTGTTTTAGCTTGCATTTGTTTTAAATTGATTGGAGCTTATTGATTGTATTTGTTTTCCATTACAGTTTAGAAGATCAAATGAAGATGTCATGCAAAATCAAACAAGTAGTTCAAGGTCACAACAACATGCAGGGGTGCATACTGTTAGATGCATGCCCACTCCCACTGTACCATTGAGTCAAGATAGTTGTGTCACTCAATCGTCTCCCCATCAACAAGCTCCAACACCAAATCAAGCTGCGATGCAAAATCAAAGAACTAGTCCAAGGGCACAATCACCTTTACAAGGCTATATTGTTAGATGGATGCCTACCCCCACTGTCCACATTAGGCAGCAAACTTTTTTGAGCCAGTCATCTCCAAAGAGGCATAAAAGTGATACTTCTGGCAACTAGCCATCTCCACAAAACTATACCTTTTGTTTGATATTTTAAGTAGTGCATTTGACCATACACATTATAGTGCTTTGATCAGCTGATATTGTTAGGTTTTGTGGTGATAGCTTATATTGTTAGGAACGTGAGGGATATATGATATTGTTAAGTTTTGTGGTGAAAATTGACAATAGCTTATGTATGTCCAAACAATTGTTCTCTAAATCGTTTGTGTATTTTCTTATGTATATTGGTCAAACATTCGATGTATGACATATATTGGCTTGAAAATGAATTCAATGAATTTTTTTGTATGTTTTATATCCTTATATTTGAAGCGTTTCCTTAAGACAAATCTATCTCACAAATTTAACATTTCATTAATACTTAAAGCATTACACTGAAAATAACAGGTTACATACAATGCATCTTCAATTTTAACACAAGTCTATTAACCCATACAATGTAGTTAACAACTCATCATAATATTACCCTAAATTACTCCCATAAAGAAGACAAAAAAAGACTTAAATGATTATAATTCCCACTATAACTCCCGCAAAGAAAACAAGAACATAAGTCAAAATCCAAGCATATTTTCGTTTCCTTTGTTCCTCCTCCATAGCTCCAATCTTTCTTAGAAGACCAACAATAATAGCTTTTAACCGATAACTTATTGGTGGATCATACCAGCAAAAAAACTTGCAAACTCGAGACCTTTTTCTATAATTTCCACAACCCCAAAATCTTCTACCAAGATTTTCTTCGGTCCATCCGATTGTTAGCGTCGAACGAACTCCACATAAGGACATCCGATTCTCATTTTCTTCATCCATGTTTCGAAGCAATCTTATCTTCTTCTTCTTTTACTCTTTCTTTCTTCAATTTCCAGCAGTTATGTTAGGGTTTTTAGAATGATAAAACATTTGAATTTTAAACTTTGGGTTCCCTTTAAATGGTTTTTTCTTATGTTTTAATTGAGGTGGCGTCCTGCATGTCGATAACGTGGCGTGGTGCATGTCAAACCTGGAAACAACCAGCTTAGTCAGCAACCACGTGACTCTCCATTTTTTTAACGGAGAGTGGTCTGATTGAATCAATTAAAAAGTTTGGTGGTCGAATTGAGACAAAAAATAGTTCGGTGGCAAGATTGATTAATGACCATAGTTTGGTGGTTTCCCGTGTAGTTTACCCTTAAATTATCATAACACCATAAAATAAACTGCTCATCTTATCGTGGAATGAATTAGGATACAAACGAGACCATTTTTGCATATGTGCCTAAGAATATGATACATTGATCTATACAACAATAATCTATAAATGTGAAAGCTTCAACAGATCCTATTCAGCTGGACCTGCTTTGCACCTCACCTATCTATGGTTAACCTATCTATGGATTGTGCTCAGAGCTGCAATGCTAAATCTGGGTGAGCTGAATCAGCTCGACTCGAACTAGGTGACCCAGGTGACTGAAATCTGATGTTCAGGTCTGGTGGAACTGAGTCTGGTCTCTGTTGTGGTGACAACCTTGAGTCTGGTTTTTGATGTGGAGATGAGTCTTCCCACGAGGGCTGTTGATGAATCATTGATCTTGGTGTTGTCGTTGTCTCGCGCCCAGGATTTGGTGGACAGCTCAGATTGTTTGTGCCTGAATTTTTTGTGAATTTAGGGTCGTTTGAGTTCGAGTTTGTTGTTGCTGGAAGTGCAAAGTTAGTTGCAGTCCTTGAGACAGTATCAGGCCTCTGAGATGACTGGAAACTGAACCCAGGAGGCCTGGAAGTCCCGATGAGTTTCACCATATGAGCCGGGAGATTATACCCGTAAGCACCATTATTGTATCCATTAATGCCAGGATGAACTGGAAGGGAGGCCTCGGCTGGACAACTCCTACACTGCTGTTTGTCATGTTAAAACTGTAGACATTAGCTTTTTTCCCATTTGTTTATTTATTTATTTATTATTTATTATTATTATATTAATTATTATTAGTATTATTATTATTATTGTTATTATTCATATTATAAACCGGAGCCCAAAAATTAAATCCCTGATGCCCAACAGTGACCTAAACACGGTGGCCTAGATCCAGAAGCCCAAAAGAAACCTTAAACCCAATTAAGGTTTATGTCTCATACCCTAGCCGCCATCAACCATTAGCCGTTGGATCTAATGAGATCCAACGGTCCCCAGATGCACCAGAAGTAACCCTAGGGTTATGATATCCTAGGAGCCACACGACGGTCGCCTCTGCTACCACCAACGCTGTCGACGACCCGCTGCCACGACGACAACAAGAGCTTCCAAAAGTTTCAATGCCGACCGCCCACGTTAAAGGCTACGGTGAGTCACCACCATAGTTTGGTGACTCACCAAACTTCGCCCCTTTACCCGGTCCGAGGCAAGCGCCGGTGATGGCTATAAAAGCCATCGACCGAACCTACAAAATAACACAACAAATCGACATCAACACAAACAAAAAACCAAAAGAAAAGGAAAAGAGGGAAACGCGTACCACGGAGGAGAGCAAACCACTATCACCGAATTTCGAAGATATTTTCTTTAGATCTACGCAATTTAGAGAGTTTTTAGAAAAAACTAAGGTTGGAATCGGTTTTAGAACGTTGAGATCTTCGATTTAGGTGAGTTTTGTAAAATCAGGCCACCGTGGGTGGTGGCCGGCGGCGGTGTCGACGGAGGGAAACCTAGAGAGAGTAGAGAGAATTTTTCATCTCTCTCTTAGAGAGAGAATGAAAAAAAGAAAGAAATGAAAAAATGGCCTTATGGCCGGTTAGCTTAGGGTATATATACCCTCACCAAAACGACGTAGTTTTGGTGAGGAGGGCCTTTGTGTAAATTCGAGTATGGGCTAATTGTACCCGTAGCCACTGTAATTTTAAAACTTTGCAATTTAATCCTTAAAAGTATGTTTTTATTTATTAATTTGGTATTCTAATTTTACTTTATTATAATTTAATCCTTGACATGTATATATTTATTTTAGGTAAAATAACCGATTTAGCCACTGTAATTTTAATAATTAATATTTTAATCCCGAATAATTAATTAGGTTAAATTACACTGTTAACCATTATTTCTCATAATATTTTGAATTAATATCCCTAATTTCAATACTTTATATTTTAATCCTATAATTTTAATTTTATTTGTTTTGATCATTATTCAATTGTAATTTATTTTTATTATTACCTTTATATGTTCAATATATTTAATTTAATAATTTAATTTTTTTATTTTATTCATAAATATATATATTAAATAATAATATTTATTTATTTTTTAATATTGAGAAAAGGACTGTCTTAAAGCAACTAGATGTCATTTTCTGATATTTTTAAATAAATAAATATCCTACTTTTATAAATTATATAAAATAATTTAATTTTAAATTATTTTTAGGAAAATGTTTTATTAATATTTATTTATTTTTTAATATTAAGAAATAGATTGTCTTAAAGTAATTAGATGTCATTTTTTGGTATTTTTAAGTAAATAAATATCTTATTAAAACCTAAAAAATATAAAAAATAATATATTTTCTTAGAATTATACTAATAAATTTGAAATAATAGGATTATGAATTAAATATATATTTAAATTCTTAAATTTCCAATAATAAAGATAATTTATAATCGACAAAGACCAATTTTAGGCATTGTGGGGTGTTAATCTTTCCCTAAACGTAACTGATCACGAATTTATTTTTATTATTAAAAAGAACGAATTTTTGATTAAATGCATACCAATTTATTTTTTAACTGATATTTTCTTAAAAATTCTTTTAAAAGATAATTTTTTAGGTATTCAACCTATCTAAGACGACTCCCAAAATATTTCAATAAAAACTATTTATTAATTTACATACTTTTTCGTTTAGGAAATTCGTGCCCGGAAAAAACCGATTAAGACAAAAACCATTATTAGAAGATCCATCATTGGCCTCTGTCTTTGGATTCCATGATTCAGAAGATATTTTAGCAGCCGAAAAGGTTGCAGAAGTAGTGCCAGATGCAGGTATAGGCTTACTTAAATGGCCACCTGAGACGGACTGAACTGAAGGAACATGCTTCTCAGACAAATTATCAGCGTTGGGCTTGGCAGGTTGTTTGTCTTTTCGGGTTTCCAGGTTGTTAAGTATGGCTCATAAATATACCAGTAAAGAGGACATGAGATGGAGCGGAGTGAGCGAATATCAATTGTCCTTACAAAGAAAGTCTCGTTGTGGGGTTACGAATTATGTGGGTTGGGGGTGCGGGGGCGTAGCCCCCGCGGTATGGTATAGGGTTAATTTTGTAATTATGTACCAGGGTTTTCTATTATAAATAGAGATGTAACCTAGACCTAAAACATCATTGAATAAAACTTCTAGCGCCGCCTAGGCACCGATGACGTAAGCATATTACCGAACCTCGTAAAATTCTCGTGTTCTTTCGTTTTCTTTACCCGTTTTCGTCAACAATTGGTATCAGATGTCAGGAGCAAAATTCGAAGTCGCGAAATTCGATGGTCAGGGTAACTTCGGATTATGGCAAACGAGGGTGAAGGATCTATTGGCGCAGCAAGGGATCTTGAAGGCTTTGCGACCTATAAAGCCGGCGTCGATGGATGAGGAAGATTGGGAAGAATTGCAGCAGCGAGCGACAGGAACCATACGATTATGCTTGGCGGACGAGGTCATGTATCACGTCATGCATCTATCGTCTCCAGACAAAATTTGGAGGAAGTTGGAAAGTCAGTTTATGTCCAAATCCTTAACGACAAAACTGTATCTGAAGCAGCGACTGTATGGGCTGAAGATGCAGGATGATCACGATTTGGCGCAACACGTGAATGTCTTCAATCAAATCGTTTCTGATCTGGCTCGGCTTGATGTGAAAATTGAGGATGAAGACAGAGCGATGATTCTGTTGTGTTCGTTGCCTCCCTCTTACGAACACATGGTGACTACTCTTACATATGGGAAAGAGACTATCAATGTTGAGGAGATTACTGCAGCCTTGTTGGCTCACAACCAGCGGAAGCAGAATGCAGGGGAAAGCTCTCAAGCCGATAGCTTATATGTCAAGGGTAATCGAGATCGTGGACGGAAGCCAGAGAAGGTAGGGTCCGGGAAGCGGAATTCCAGATCCAAATCCAGGGATAAGAAGACGATTCACTGTTACAAGTGCAAGGAGGCGGGACATATGAAGCGAGACTGTCCGAAGTTGAAAAAGCAGACTGATGAGAAGCGTGATGGCTCATCCAAGTCTGTGAACGTGGTCGAGGATGATACTTCTGATTGCAGTGAGGGTGATATGCTTTCTATTTCAACGACACAATTGACAGATGCTTGGATTCTTGATTCTGGATGTTCTTATCACATCACGCCAAATAGGGAATGGTTTTTGACATACAGGCCGGTTAATTCTGGTTCAGTTTATTTGGGTGATGATCGATGTTGCAATATTGTTGGTATTGGTGATGTCAGAATTAAGATGCACGATGGCTCCGTTCGGACGTTGAGTGGTGTTCGACATATCCCAGACTTGAAGAAGAATTTGATTTCCTTGGGCACTTTGCACAAGAATGGTTTTATCCCTAAGGCTGACGAGGATAGGGAAACCATTCGAATTGTTAAAGGAGCATTGACTGTGATGAAAGGCAAGATGACTGCAGGGAATATCTACAGATTGTTAGGGAGTACCGTTGCAGGTGGAGTTCACTCTGTTGAGTCCTGTGATGATACGACAAAATTGTGGCATATGCGCCTTGCTCATCTTAGTGAACGTGGTATGGCCGAATTACACAAGAGAAACTTGTTGCATGGTGTCAAAAGTTGTAAGCTCGATTTTTGTAAGTATTGTGTTCTTGGTAAACAGACTAAAGTCCGTTTCAAGACTGCGAAGCACACAACTCAAGGGATTCTTGATTATGTGCATTCTGATGTATGGGGGCCTTCCACGACATCGTCTTTGGGTGGATCTAGGTACTATGTTACTTTTATTGATGATTTTTCACGGAAAGTTTGGGTGTATTTTTTGAAACAGAAATCTGAAGTTTTTGAGAAGTTCAAGCTGTGGAAAGCTGAGGTAGAAAACCAAACAGGACGAAAAATCAAGTGTTTGCGGTCTGACAATGGTACGGAGTACACAGAATCACAGTTCCTACAATTCTGTAAGGAGCATGGGATTCAGAGGCATTTTACAGTGCGCAAGACACCACAACAGAATGGTGTTGCGGAACGAATGAACAGGTCGTTGAATGAAAGAGCCAGATGTTTGCGGTTGAATGCGGGGCTTCCCAAACACTTCTGGGCTGAGGCTGTTAACATGGCGTGTTACCTTATCAACAGATCGCCAAGGGCATCGCTGGCTGGGAAAGTTGCAGAAGAGGTATGGACTGGTCATGATGTTAGTTTTGATAACTTACGGATTTTTGGTTGTCCTGCTTATGTGCATGTACCTGCTGATGAGAGATCCAAAATTGATGCAAAATCGAAGGAGTGCATTTTTCTGGGTTACAAGAAAGGTGTCAAAGGATTCAAGTTTTGGGATCCAGTTGCGAAGAAAGTTGTGATTAGTAGAGATGTCGTTTTTGATGAACAGTCTATGTTGCAGCAGAAGCAAGACACGACAGTGGTAGATTTCGAGCAGTTTCCAGTTGAGAAACCAGAAACTTCTCAACCGACTTCTGGTGGTTCCACTACGGATGATTTGCAGGATTATAGTCTCGCCAGAGACAGGGTGAGACGGACGAATATAAAGCCTCCGAACAGATTGGGTTTTGAAGACTTGGTATCTTTTGCACTTACTGTTAGCAGTGATGATCCAGTTACTTTTCATGATGCCGTTACTAGTCAGGAAAACGACAAGTGGATGGCAGCCATGGTTGAGGAGATGGAGTCTTTGAATCACAATCGCACATGGGAGTTAGTTCCTCTTCCTGAGGGTAAGAAGCCGGTTGGTTGCAAATGGGTGTATAAGAAGAAACTAGCAGTAACAGAAAAATAGGGGGAGAAGTTCAAGGCTCGTTTGGTAGCGAAGGGTTTTTCACAGCAGAAAGGAGTTGATTATGATGAAATCTTTTCTCCTGTGGTCAGGCACACTTCAATCCGAGCAGTACTTGCATTGGTGGCTAGTTGGGATTTGCATTTAGAGCAGATGGATGTTAAAACTGCTTTTTTGCATGGTGATTTAGAGGAGCAGATCTACATGTGGCAACCTGAAGGTTTCACTAAACCTGGAAACGAGCATTTAGTTTGCAGATTGAAGAAATCTTTGTACGGGTTAAAACAGTCTCCGAGACAGTGGTATAAACGGTTTGACTCATATATGATCAAGATTGGCTACAACCGATGTGAGTATGATTGTTGTGTCTATGTTAAGAGCCTTGATGATGGTTCTTTTATTTTTCTATTACTGTATGTTGATGATATGTTGATTGCTGCGAAGAACATGGATGATGTTATCGGTTTGAAAACTTTATTGAGTCAGGAATTTGATATGAAAGATTTAGGTGCTGCAAAGAAAATTCTTGGAATGGAAATTTGCAGGGACAGAGACTCAAGGAAACTGCGGCTATCTCAACGGGGTTATGTTGAGAAAATGCTAGAAAGGTTTGCGATGAGCAGCGCAAAACCAGTTAGCACTCCATTGGCGAATCACTTTAAGCTCTCATCAGAACAGTGCCCCAAGACAGATAAGGAAGCTGAAGATATGGCAAAGGTTCCGTATTCTAATGCTGTTGGCTGCTTGATGTATGCGATGGTATGTACTCGTCCTGATTTAGCTCATGCTGTTAGTCAAGTTTGTAAGTACATGTCTAAACCTGGTAAGCAACATTGGGAAGCAGTCAAGTGGATCTTTCGGTACTTAAAGGGTACTGTGGGACATGGAATTGTTTTTGGGAGTCAGCGGGATAATCCTTTGGTTGTAGGATATGTGGATTCAAATTATGCAGGTGACTTGGATAATAGAAGATCTACGACAGGGTATGTGTTTACTCTTGGTGGAGGGCCTATATGCTGGAAGTCTACTGTTCAATCTGTCGTGGCACTATCTACAACTGAAGCTGAATACATGGCAGCGGCTGAAGCTGCAAAAGAAGCTTTATGGCTTACTGGTTTAGTGAAGGAGTTGGGTGTTCAACAAGGTGGAGTTCAGTTGCTTTGTGATAATCAAAGTGCTATTCACTTGGCTAAGAATCAGGTGTATCGTGCTAGAACTAAACATATTGATATAAGGTTCCACAAGATCAGAGAGTTGGTTGCATCTGGAGAGGTTTTGTTTCAGAAGGTACATACTGATGAAAATGCTGCTGATATGTTCACTAAGCCAGTTACGACAGACAAGTTCAAGCATTGCTTGGACTTGTTGAATGTTTCGAGTTGTTAAAGAATCAAGGTAACCCAACCCACATTGAATTTTCAAGAGGCAGGATATTCGCCAAGGTGGAGATTTGTTAGGTATGGCTCATAAATATACCAGTAAAGAGGACAGGAGATGGAGCGGAGTGAGCGAAGCGAACATCAACTGTCCTTACAAAGAAAGTCTCGTTGTGGGGTTACGAATTATGTGGGTTGGGGGTGCGGGGGCGTAGCCCCCGCGGTACGGTACAGGGTTAATTTTGTAATTATGTACCAGGGTTTTCTATTATAAATAGAGATGTAACCTAGACTAAAACATCATTGAATAAAACTTCTAGCGCCGCCTAGGCACCGAGGACGTAAGCACATTGCCGAACCTCGTAAAATTCTCGTGTTCTTTCGTTTTCTTTACCCGTTTTCGTCAACACAGGTGATCAACGGAGCAGAGCAGTGATGATGTTTGCTGGCCTGGTGGAAGCGAGAGTGAAGGTAGTTGTAAAGGTCTCTGTGCCGGAATATCATTTTCTACAACGCATCCAGGACCAAAATTTACTCCAGCTGGTAAACACTTTTCTATCCTTTTGGCAGCGATTTTCCAGGCAACCGAACCAAGGTTTGCAGCAAATCGAGCTAGACTTCGTGTGTAACCATGCTCCAAGTATACCCCCACCTGCTTCAAATGAAAAACAAGATATCAAACAAACACAGGACAACCTAAGATTCCCCACACAAGCTAGTCCAGCAGAAAGGATAAAGCACAAACTGTTTGCGGACATA